CAGCACAGTAGCAAACTTTTTGCCGCATAGAAAGCTTGTTTAATGTGAGATAATTAGTAAGCATACCATTGCGATGTTGGTAGTTTTTGAGCATAAAGTCCTGGATTTAGGTGGAAATAGCAACACCGATGATGTTCCGGAGTGAAATATTTCCTTTATTCTTGTTGGCTTGGTGCTGCATGGAGAAAAACGCAGTTTCCCTGCTGTAGTCTAGGCAGGTGGAGCGTCGTTCTCCCCGTGCCTGATCCCAGAGCAGCATCTGCAGATGGGTAGAGAAAAAGAAAGACGAGACACCACCGAACACAGCAAAAGGAGGCACCCAGTTACTTGAGCACGGAGTGTAGTGCTGTCTGGTCACTTTATGGTGCGTCGGTCCTATTATGGATGCCGTAGCTTTCCATAGCTTAGCACCGCTAGCGTAAAGTGTAATCTGAGTGCTGAAACCCGACGGCAGATCATTCACAGAAAAGGAAGAGCAGTAGACTCACATTCGTCCGCTAGGATACGCTAGATGACGATTTTCTCCAAGCTGAGTGTGCTCTGCTGACTTCTGCTCGAAACTCTGTGCCATCTGGACGCGAGAGATCAAACCTACCAGCTTCCTAGGCTCGTATCACTGATGTTGGATTATGAAGAATGGCACCCGCCGATTTAGGCTTATTAGGTGACATTTCGGACTGCGATGAAAGTGATTCACGGTTGGCGTTTTCACTGTAAGTCACGTAGTAGCTGTCGGGAAATATAATTGCGAACAAAACCAAGTGACAGGGAAAGTATTTATGTGCACAGCCATGAAGATGATGTCAGGTGTTAAGTGATGACAGAGAACTCTAAAAAAGGCAGGAACTGTTATCGGATAACAGGTAAGTAACCATTTCAGTGGGTCTTTGTGCTTGCTGAGTCATCGACTCATATTTTTTCTTCACCTCCTCTTTTACAGACTGTCTTGTTCCCCCGTAAACTGACATTCTTCTACGTGCCCAACAACAGCCTCCCCATGAGACAGACAAAAATCTAACAAGAGCTGGCCTTTACAACTTCTGTGACAACTTAGGAACAGGTACGAAATACCTGTAACGTAATCTATAGGAGTACTGTGGATTAATAAAGACTGCAAAAGGAAGTATTTGTATAACTTTCATCCCCTTCAAGATTTACATGCCGGCTGCTGCGTAACAAGAAATAGGTACTAGGCCCGACCAAGAACAAAGGAAGCTGACCGTCGAGGTACGTCTCTTGAAATGAATGAAGTCGGATGAAGTCAGTGAAAGTGTGAAAGTTGTACAGAAGCTGTAGATTTGATGTATACATAACAATAATTCATTCCTGAACTTACGCTTGTATGTAAAATAGTCCTTGTGAACAGCAATTAGTACTTGGATGACATGAAGCTATTCGACAGCTATCTCTGATCATATAAATTTCATGTTTTGCAAACAGCGACATCATTCGGTGCTTAGTTAAGGCGACCCTTAACCACCATATCCGCGTAATCAGCTCATGAAACCGCTTACAACATGTTTTAACTCAAGTCACCATCTACTCTTTTGTGTTTGTCTGATGTGCATAGCGTTTACCTGCTAACCTTAGTAACGTAGGATGTTCATTACGTCTTGGCAGCGCTACGTTCGCTTGACCTAAGTGGGCAGGCTAAGAGCCACTCACTTCCTTAGAAGATATGTATTTGATATATTGGCGATATGATGACTTCAAAATGGCAGCGTTACTCGATAAAGTTCAGCACGCAGTGAATAGTAGTATTATTCTGTTTGCCACCGTGGTTGACTGCATGTCACTGGATAAGCATCTCAAATCGCTCCATCCTGGCTCCTCAATTACTGCTGACCCCACGGAAGACCAAATATTGTACACTACAACGGAAGTCACATCCGTCTGTCTACAAACTAAGGGACACAGTGGTTTGGCAGTCTGAGTGCAACAATAGATCTGCTCCGTGCAAGCAATAACTGTATGTGTGCTGGTTTCATCCGAACTAATTTTTTCGCTTACTTATGATTATTCCAACTTATCAAATAGTATGCACGCCATCTTCTAACATCGTGAAGTATATAGTGTTGGGTAATTATACATCAATAGGAAAACGAGTGCCACAAGGATGGACTTGTTTTTCTAACTATTACCTACAGGTACCCATTTTTGCGCTACCTGTGGATAGTACCATTTGCGGTTTCCTGCCCAATGCCATGACGAGCACCGTTTCTTTACCATTCACAATAAATCAAAAGTCGAAATCGAATATGGGAAAAAATATAACTCGAAGTGGCAATTAAGGGTTCTGAGTGCACGTTGGTTTTCTCATAGCCCTATATTCGGTGTTAAAGCTGCGGATACTGCAGTCGTTGAAGGCAACAAGGTGACGAAGCCATTGGAGTGTGGACCTGTGTCGGGTAAAACTGATGCAGAAATATAACACTTGCTTCATAAGCCAAGGGATCTTCTCCGGAAGTAATTGACCGCACTATTGGCTCGGAATTCGTCTGAAAATTCTTCGGGCACCCAGTGATTATCCAATGAATATGGCAGTAACACAGGTTTTGCAAAACAGGCCGCGAGTGCGCTGGGTGACATGTCCGGGACCTCTGACCAATTCCAAATTTGTCGGTGTCTAAGAGCACGAGACTATAAATTCTGGGCAGGCGGTTACGAAATACTACGTACCTGTAAAAGGATACCTATAAAAGCCTTCTTTAAATGTACTGGAGGCGTGTCTACATGGTTAACAACGTGAACGAATGTCCTGTAAGTACCTTCAGATGATCGAGGATGGATTCAACCGTATGGGTACCGATTACCAATGAATGAAGTTTTGCGATTCATACAAAGTATAAGTGTATTTTCAAATTTAGCATAACTATACCGAATGCAAAATATGTAGGGTGGTTAAGCGGTTAGGAAAGTCATACTTGGAACATTTTGTCTTCGCCACGGCAGCTTCTGTATTCTTTCTTTCTTGCATTCTATTTGTGTACTTTCAAGGTTCTCTTATGCCGAGCCTCCGATCTTTGCAAAAACCCTTTAATTTGCACACTCAAACCCTGCATACGACTCTTCGTACTGTAAGCACATGCTTATTGGGTGCTTTCCTTTCACCATGTAGCTGCGAAATTTCCACCCACTTTCCTGTCTAATCCAAAGATGATTCTATAATACCAGTGGAACCTGAAAAATTGCAGTATTACAAGAATCATCTCGGAGCAGTCACTTACTACTGAAAGATATGAGAGCGTTTAGACTATTGAACCATTAGTCCGAATTTTCGACCGTTATCACTTGTCTTCCCAACTTTTCTCTTTACACAGGGTACGGCATATATGGAATACAGACAGCATTATGTTTACCTACCTATGTTACTTGTGCGACTGATATTTCAGCCTGCACGCAATTTATGGTAAAAGCATAGGTATAACCCGTATCCACTGAGGTTTCTGAAACAGTCACAGATCCAAGTTTCTTCTCTGCTGAACCTCTTACCGGCCTTTACTAACGTTATGGGACGCCCACAACTGAGATTATCGGTGACGAGTTGAAACAATCGAAATCCATACCATTGATCACTAAGTTGCGTGGAGACATACCAAAGGTTTACAACGTACCAAGCTATCCAGGTCACGTCAACAGGATATCTCCTCCGAACTTTCTTCCCTGTAATCAGTCTCCTAACCCAAATAAACCACCTACTATAGGTAGAAAATGAATGTGTGTTCACACCTCTTCACCTTACAAGTCCACGGCCAAGGGAACGCGTCTTCTTCATAGATTGCTAGTTTTCTAATTGTCTACGGCCTCAAAACGTTTTGGCAGCTATACAGCTACACACGACTTACCCTCACCCAGTCGGGATACGGACTGGGTCAATTCAATGGACTGAATCCGCATCACTGTAGGACAGTAAGCCCGACACCAAGTCATTTGCACCGCCACTACAGTGAACCTAGCTCAACTTTACACTTCACTGTACGACGTCTCATCTTTAGCTACCATGCCCATACTAACAACATTACTATTTACATTCCCACTATCCCCCATATTATCTTGCCTACCGCTTCCCCTCCCTCTACGTTCAAATTTTCACCTTGCTTATTGAGATTCTCACAATCACAGTGCTTTTTCATGTCCTCCTAGAATTCGCCTAGATTTTCCATTTCGTTTCGCTGTACTTCTTTTCTACTTGTCCCTCCAAACGTCCTCTCCCTCCTTTTTGCTGGACACTGTTTCATTTCTTTAATCTTCTTTTTATCACCAGTCCAAACAACTGTTCAGTGACACAAAATTTAAGAACCCCATCTACACCACACTCCCTGGAAAAACAATACAACCCTTGCAAATCCAATTAACCCCCAACCGCTGCCCTATCTTACCAAAGTTACGACATGCAACTGGAAAGATTTACTGCATCTGAATCGACCGAAATCTGGAACCATTCCACCAAATCTAGGAGCAAGCCCAAGTAAATCAACTGGTCCCCAAAGGGTCAAAAGGATATTAGGTGTTTGAAATCGGATGTTTAACACTGGGTATTTCGGGGTGAACCTCTGATACTCCTTATATCTAACAAATGGTACTAGTTAGTTTGACCAGTACACCCAGTGAAGAAGGAGATTTTCACAGAGATATCCAGTACTGAGATTACCACATTATTATCAGCTTGCAGTAATTGTTGTTAAAGTCTGTTTTATGCAAGTGTTTACAAAAACAAGAATCGCGAAAGGTTAATTGATCCTAACAGCAGCTCCACTGCTTCTCTCAAACAAACCAAGCTACAACTTGCAAGAAAAAATACCCTCAAATAGAAACTCATTGTCTCCAAAGCTAGAAGCAGGAAAAACGTAAAGACTTCTGCGATCACTGAGGGAGTAAAACCGAATCTAAAGAACAAAGCCTCAGGACCTAGAAGCGAAAGCTTAAAAACTACAAGTTTACTCGTTCCGCACTATTGGTGTTGGATAGTGGATGTTGTTGAAAAGCCTATTGTTTGAACCGCCTTTTTTGTGTGTAGTATATGTTTGCGTGGTATTTTTGGCAAAGGTAAGACGTTGTAAAATTCAATTATCACTGCTTAAATCTTCTCGTTAAGTGTTTTGATTATCATTTACTGACTACAGAAATACCCGTCAATATAAGTAATTTCTTACTATCTGTAGTTTACTATCCTGAACTTAATTACTTAAGTATGGTTCTCTTGCCTGGATTGCCTGCTTAGAATGCTTCATCAATTATTCAGTCATATAATTATGGGAATAATGTTTTTTAATCTTCGGCGGGTTGCGCTTTTATGGTGTCATATTCCCTCGGACTTAATCTATCGTAGCAGGAGAGGAAATATAGGATACATGTCCTATCCTTAATAATGCTAGTACGATCTGTTGTGAACACTGTATCAATTGACGGGCTAGTGCTGACGCCATTTTTGAGCGCTTCACCAGCTGGATTATGAGACTTTTCATCCATCACCGGAGAGAGAATTCACAATTTCTTAGTGCTTCCTCTAACGAATGAGAGCAGTTTTTCATGACAGTTTTTGGAGTCGCTCACAAGCTGCTTCTTGTCAGACATTCGAGACTGTTTAACCAAAGTTTTTCACAGGTTAAGAAGTTTACAGAAAGCATTTCTAAATGTTTCCAGTTCAGTTTCTATGGGAAAGTTTCATAAAAGGTCCCTGCACCCCGATAGTTTCTGAGTACCCTTATCAAACCACCAAGGGAGATGTAAGGATCTTCGTGAAGTTGATTGTGGGGTAGATGGCGTTATTATCTTCTAGAATATGGTTCTAAACCTCTTCATAGGGTTCTCAGTCACTGAGTTCTTCTCACTAATTCAATTCTTACTGTCTGCATAGTCCCCTTTACATAAAATACTCTCGTGTTCGACCCACCTTCTTAAGCTATATGCTTCCTATAGGGATATATATGTCCACGCACGGGCCGTCTATATCTAGATATTTTCAACTTGTTAACAACCTAGTGCTTTATTTGCTCTTCTGGTGACAATATCTGTGACCACTGTCGCTCTGACTTATTTGTAATTATGCTCCCTGTCCTATATACCCTGAAACGAAAATGTCGTAACGCTATGAAAGAAGTATAAGAAACCATACACAGGGCGAGAATTCGTTTAAAAATTATTTGCGATGCTACTTGTATTTCCACTATCAGCATATCCAGTAATTACTATTCGTTATTTACATGTCTACCTCGATTTTGGATGCGTGATGCGAATTCGTAACAGTTGATTCAGTTCCATTTACTTTATCTATCTATGTAACCCTTAACAAGATGGTAGGCAGTTGTGACTGCTGGTGAACACTTTGTTTTCTTCCAACTCTTACAATCGTCTCAGTGTGAAACCAAGACACGACTGCCGTTGTATACAACAGGTCAAACTGGGACTTAAAAAGACTTTTAGTCACTTTGTAACTCTTCATAGCTGTTATTCATGGGATTTTAAGTGTGATAATATGATACTTACCCTTACTGTCGTCTCAATTCGTGAACAGTAAATCAAGGGGTTGAGTTCTTTGTCAGAAAGAAGTAATGTATTAAACCTTGCAGAAGATATCTCTGTGAAGATCTAATTTTATTTTAATATGTTCATAAAATGAGCTGTTACTACTTACCATGGCAAGCAGTTCCAACTGCCAACTACCGGGGGAATTACAGTTTCTGTATGGTATTCAAAAAGTTGTGGTTTGCTTCACTGACTTTCTGGGTAATTTTGAGGTATCTGTCAACATATGGAACCAAAGAATTTTCATCATTATTATTAGTCTCTTGGGTTCCTAATGGAACATAAGGATTCAGTAGCACGTCTCCAATGCGCTCTGTCCTCTGAAATCTTCTGAACCTGGTTCCACGACAGCCCAGAAGCTCTCATTTCCTCCTCGCACAATCTCCTCCATGTCACTCTCACCTCGGACGCCTAACTCGTCGCTTCCCATAAGGATTCCACTCGAGGGCCTGACGCGTGATGTCCTCAGTCGGCCTTTTCAGTGCATGCCCAATCCATCTCCACTTCCTCCTGCATATATGTTGGATGATAGGTTCTTGGTTGGTTCGTTCCCAGAGCTCCTTGTTGCTTATTCTGACTATTCTGGCCATCTGATCTTCAGTAGCGAGCCAGCTTAGGCAGTTATTGATGAATGTCTGTAGTTTATTGGAAATGCCTTTCGTGACGCGCCAAGTCTCTGAACCATACAGAAGCACTGACATGATGTTGGTGTTGAAAATCCGGATCTCGTTCTGCTTGCTGAGTGCAGAAGATCTCCACACTGGTTTCAGGCTAATGAACGACTGTCTTGCTTTTCCGATCCTGACTGACTTTGACATCCTCGTTTGTGCCTATGCTGCCTGTAGTTGAAACAGTGCTTCCTAGGAAGGTGGGTGAAAGAGGCTACTTCCCTTAAGTTTCTCCCGTTGATTGTGATTGAAGATTGTTGTTGTTGGTGGTGTTGTTCGCCTAGTATCTTTATCACCTCTGTCTTCTCTGTATTCACCCATCTTCGCTGCCTCTTCTGCCAACTTGTTAGTTTTTGCCTGTAGATCTTCAGGTTTGTGTAACATCAGACATAAGTCATCGGCGAAATCAAGATCTTTCAGGTTCTTTTCTGCAGTCCAGCCAGCGTATCCACCTCTTCTTGCTCCCCACTGTTTGTTGCATGATCCAGTCGACCACAATCAGGAATATCATGGAGGATAGTAGACAGCAGCCTTGTTTCACTCCTGTCTTCACTTCAAAAGCATCACTGAGCTTCCCATTGTGAATCACTTGGCATGTGGCATCTTCATATAGTTGTTGAATGAGGCGGATAAAGGTTGGCGGTACTCCATAGTAATGAAGCAGTTTTCAAATTACCTCTCAGTCGACGCTGTCAAAGGCCTTCTTAAAGTCGATAAAGTTGAGGTGTAGAGTTGACTGCCACTCTATACTCTGTTCTACGATGATGCGAAGCATTGCATTGCAATTTGGTGTGCACATGATTTGTACTTCCTGAATCCAGCCAGCCTGTTCCGGTTGTAGTTTTGAATCCAGTGCATCCTTTAGCCTCTCCAGGATGATGCGGCTTAATATTTTGCTTGCTCTGGGTGGACAGGAGAGTGATTCCGCGCCAGTTCTTGCAAACACTGAGGTCTCCATTCTCTGGAAGTCTGACAAGGTAGCCCTTCTTCCAATCGCCAGGTACCTTCTCTTCCTTCCACACCTTCTGCAATAGTTGTGTGAGCATGTCCGCTGTTGTCTCTGCCTCTGTCCTCAGTGCTTCTGGTGGGATTCCATATGGTCCTACTGCCTTCTCACATTTCAGTAGCTTTATGGCATTCAGGACTTCCATTTTAGTTAAAGGATTTATGTTCACTTGTAGTTCAGCGGCTGTTGGTGGTATTTCTGGACGAAGTGACAGTGGTTGTGATGGTCGATTCAGAAGCTTTGTGAAGTGGTCAGCCCACTGTTTCCTTTGTTTTTCCTCTTTCGTAATTAAATTTCCTTCATCATCTTTTATTGGTTTCGTCTGCGTTCATCTCCTCCCAGATAGCAACCTGTTATTTGATATAATGTTGTCAGGTCTCTCTTACCTGCAGCATGTTCTACTTCACATGCCAGTGTTTCGTAGAAGAGTCTTTTGTCTTTGCGTGCACTCCTCTTCACTTCTTTGTCCAGTGTTTTATACATTGTGCTCACTTCCTTTTGTCGTTGAGCATCCTTGCACTGGTTTGTCTTCTCCTTCACCATCCTCCTCTCACTGTTCTATCAGCTTCCATGTATCCGTCGAAGCCCATTCCATTCCTTGTCTTCTTTCTTCTTCCTTCCTAATACGGCTGTGCAGGTTTCTCTTCACATCTCTTTCAAAGACTTCCAGTGTTCTTCCACACAGGTTTCTTCAGGGATGTTGCTCGATATCTCCCATTTTGTCTTGATGGCTGGCTGCCGTGAAGATTTCCTTTGTAGTTTCATCCGTCAGTTTCCGAGTGTTGTACTTGAATTGAGGTCTATCACCAGCTTCCTTGAAGGCTTTTAACTTGATTTGGAAGGTTTCTTGCACTAGATAGTGAGTGGTCTGAACCTACATCTGCTCCTCTTCTTCACCTTGTGTCAAGTAGACTGTGTCTCCATTTTTTTGAGATTGAGATGAAGTCGATTTGATTTTTAGTGTGTCCTGGTGTCTGGTGAAATCAACTACATATCGCTTTGTGGATATCCTTGTGCTTGAACACACTGCCTGAATCCAATCACCAAATCGTTGAATGCACAGAATTCTGCAAACAATTCTCCATTCTTGTCCATCACCTCACCTAGCGCTTCTCGACCCATGGTTAGTTCTCTTCCTGTGTTGTCCCCTCCCAGTTTGGCATTCATGTCGCCCATTGGAATTTTGATATCGCCAACTGAGGTGGTGTCTTGTCCAGTGTTGATCGAAGTTGTCTGTGGAATTCCTCCTTTTTTTCTTGCTCTGCATTATTTGTAGGTGCACAGCGTAGCGTTGTATGATTGTGACCTTCCTTCCTTTTGAGTTGAACCTTGCTGTTATGATCATGATCGTTGATGAGATTGGTTCCCACTGCATGAGAGCCCTCGATGCTGTTGAGGACATGAAGATAGCCACTCCGAAACTCAGTGTGTTCGTGGTTGTCGTCTGGGTGACAATATCGGGGTAGATTATTGATTCTCCAGTTGAGAGTTTTGAGAGTCCACTCCCATTCCATCTGCTTTCTCGAATTCCTAGCACTTCAGTGTGATACCTTCTCATCTCGTTTGCAATCTGGGCTGCCTTACTGGGTTCAAACATGGTGTGGACATTCCATGTCCCCACGTTTACTTTCGCTTTCATCGAGAGAAGACACATCGGCCAATTGGCTTCCCGAAGGCTTTCACCAACTGGCGTCATTTCGTCTCTCCGATTCCAGCGAGGAATAAGTTTGTTTTTATTTTTCATACATCGTTTGTGCTTTGAAATTTCTTTAGCGGTTAGATTTGTTTTGCGGGGTAGGGTTGGTAGCCCTATGCCCAACCTTCCCTCTTTACCCGGGGTTAGAATC